GGTCTGTAAATAATCGAGTCTGGACCAGACAATTCAGTGATTAATATTATGAGCATCGATCCACCCAATTAGGATCGAAGACCAAGTCAACCAAGTCAGTGGGCCTGACCACCCGATCCCGTAAGTCCCTCTTTCGACCAGCATAGTCACCTTTTACGGCAAGCATGGGTTGCTGAAGACCTATTCTACCCCGGAATCTTCACGGGTCGAACTTCAAGATGATTTTGCCCCAACGAGAATCCACGTACCAACGCAGTCACTATTTTTCTTGAGCATTATTTTTTTGTAGCTTGGCTTCGAAATACACAAACAGCCCCGAACAGGTCGTCTATTGTTATGAGTTCACATGTGATTTTTAGTTGAACAAAGCTCTAAATAAGAAAAGCTGAAAGACAAGTTCGTAATTTTAATTATTTTCGCTGTTTTGAATTCAAATACACGATGGCATACCGAAAACCAAGATATCAGACATTATGTTCATTAAACCGGAAATAACTACCCAGGTTAATGCAACGGAATAACATATAGACTGCAATTAATCATTAGCTATTTGCCTTAAGTATTTTTCGAAATGATAAAACGGAGACAAAATTCCTGAGCCTTGATAAACAGCCACTGGGAAACCTTACCGCAGATCATAGATTTTTAATCACGCCTGGTTTCATATCAGTCATCTCCGATTTATTGCTGACATTTTCGAAATGAATCTTATTTCGCTTCGCATAAAATTTCATTTCTACTTTTTAGCGATATGAAGAAGAAACCGGACCTTGTCGAACAGAGAGCTCGATACCAGCCTCTGTGGTTGATTTGGAAACGTGTCTCCTTTCCGCCATAATTTCAGCTCGTAAGGTAATACCCACGGGCAATAAGGAATCTCATTATTGCAAACCTGACGCCACGGGCCAGGTAACATTACCTTTTCGCTAATCAGCGCCGACTATCTGGGAAGACGGCCATGACAAACAACGGCTGCACAACTCGCTAAGACTTATTGCAATACTATGATGAATGCATTATTTTCGATAGAATTCCTTTGAGCTCTCGTTACCTGTCGTCATTTCGTGGCTAATTGTAATATGATAGACTGATCTTAATATCTTTACAGTACAAATTGCTTGATCGTGAAGATTGAGTTGGGCGTCATTTTTTCCGGATTATTGCATTTTTTTAAAAATTCATTACGAACTATTTACTTAAACTTGATGCGGAATTTTCTGGATTTGATGTAAAGCAGATATGTATGTTTATGACCAGCTTTAGACTGAGTTATAAAAGTACGCCTTGTCATCAGAAACGTTCAAACGACGTTAGCCATTTTGTTTGTGCGGACTGTAATTTCTAAAGAACAGCCGTTTCTAAATACCAAACGGTTTTATTGTTTCAAATGATGATTCGACATCTTTTTCATTTCCAACCTAGCCTCTCAGAGTAGGGTGTTATTTTTCATGGTGAATAAGGCTGCTCTTATTATTTTCTTTATTTCTTAATGCTTCAAAGAAGCATTATGATATATATGGTTTGTCAGTTTGCTAACGTTGATGGCTGTTGTTGCCATCAAAGCGTCAACTCTCAAAGAAAGAAAGGTAAAGCACGATGTGAGCCTTAATAACACAAGAACTAAATGAGATGAATATTGTGGACATGAAAACGACAAAACCCTGTTTTATATTCATGAGAAATTTCAGCTAAAAGCAGAGTCCATTGTACGATTGCAGCTTTATCATGAGCATGAATCACCATCAAATAGTGATGATACCAGGTGTTCGGGAAAAGGTGGACGTATCCTGTCCCATCGGTGGCACCCGTCACAAACTCATGCAAAGGCAAGTAAATTGTTCACCTGAAACAAAAATGGAACATATGGTACAAGTCGAAATAGGGAATTGCTTAGGACATCATTTTCGCAACTGATGCGTCAAATTTGGAAATGTCCCCACATGTCTACCATAAAACTTAAGTAAAGCTTTCCTGAGGCCTTGAATGTAACCTTGATGTTACAGACCGCCTCCGTGGTCTAATGGTAGAGCGTCCGCCCGGAGAGCGGAAGGTCCGGGGTTCGATCCCCAGCCGCGTCATACCAAAAGACGTTAAAAGATGGTACTTGTTGTTACCCTGTCTAGCGCTCGGCATTAAGGGGCTAAAACAAGGACTGGTCGGCTCGGAGTCAGTATACTGTGTCTGAGTGGGGTATTCATGTTAAACTGCGGCATGGTATCTCAGTGAGCTAGCACTATAAATCGGCATCAGTCCGGACTAGTACAAGCAGTCACACACACACACGTGCATGCACGTCGCTATATACGTGCAATAATCTTGGACGCGACGTTAAACCCCATTTCACCTCACCTCACCTTGATGTTACAACTACTGAGCAAGAGTCGTAAGACGTTGTTTGAAATCTTGGAAGAATGAGCATGCTCTATTGTACCCCAAAAGTGGTGAAACACCAAAGGCTGGAACTGCTGGAATATGTCTCGACATAAAGGGAAGAAGGTAATGATATTTCTTTGCATCGTTTACAGTCTACATTCTTGTGTACTTGCAATAGAATATTGAAGAAAACTAATGATCCCACGTATAGACTCTGCTTTGTCGGGTCGACTTTATTTGTGTCCATGTTACCAGCATAAATGGTACTTAATGTTAACAAGAAAGTGGCAATATCTGGAAACATATACACAACACCGGCAGAATGTAAAAACATATACAATACAGTGGCAGTATGTGAAAACATACAATACAATGTCAGTGTGTGAAAACATATACAATACAGTGGCAGTGGGTGAAAACATATACAGTACAGTGGCAGTGTGTGAAAACATATACAATACAGCGGCAGTGTGTGAAAACATATACAATACAGTGGCAGTGTGTGAAAACATATACAATACAGTGGCAGTGTGTGAAAACATATACAGTATAGTGGCAGTGTGTGAAAACATATACAATACAGTGGCAGTGTGTGAAAACATATACAGTATAGTGGCAGTGGGTGAAAACATATACAGTACAGTGGCAGTATGTGAAAACATACAATACAGTGGCAGTGTGTGAAAACATACAATACAGTGGCAGTATGTGAACAAATACTTGCTTTGTTTTTATATACCTACTTTCCTTTGTGGTATATTTCCGGAACATCCCACACAATTAATGTCAGTAGTCTATAAATGGCATATTAAGAGCAACATTAATCTTTACGTAAGTTGCAGTGAAACATTAAAAGTAATGCTAAATGTTTAAAAAAATAGAATCAGTTGTACTAGTATTGTTTGAAGTTTAAATAGCAAACATCTCTTTCTGATGTTGCTGGTATCACTGACAATTTGGTTAATAAGTAATTTACTAACGTTCGGACACCAAGTTACTTCTATATGATGAGTTGAATGACGATCTGAATTGTGAGTACCTTGTAACTCGAACAAGACAGCGGCTTAAGTCTAATGTATTGTAATCTTAATAACTTCAGTCCCCAAACATGAAATGTCAAATAAATAGAAGCGATAACACCCTTTCCATACCCACAAGCTATCTCTGTCAAGAGTTGACTGTACGACTCTGATCATATCATATGCCATGTGTTTATGAATCGCTATCAACTAGCGATGATACAAGGTGTTCACGCAAAGGTGAACGTATCCTGCTCCACAGATGGAACTCGTCACAAACTCATGCAAGGACAAGTCAATTGTTCACCCGGAAACACACGGCACAAGTCAAAATTGGGAACAAGGTGGGACATCACCTCTGTCACCGCTTTGTTAAACATGGGAACGTTCCCACATGTCTACCATCAATCTTTCTGAAACTATCGTTGAGGCCTCGAATGCTACAACCTTGGTCAAACAACTTTTGAGCTAAAGTACTCATGGAAATAAAAAAAAACTGTTCTACTGGATTTAATAATCGACACAAAGCATTACGTGGATGTAAATACGAAATAACAAAACAACTGGAAAAGTACTAGTCTTGATTTGCTAGTTTTATCTCAATGCTCAATACAAAATGTACTTTACAGGAGGTAATTTGTAGGCACTTTCAACATTCAAAAAGTCCAAATTGACATGGCAGAAACAGGCTATAGGCATTATGCAAATTAGCCTGGAAAAAAATTATCAAAACAACAATAAAAACAACAGCTATGTTTATGTACATAATAATAATGACATGTAAGTTGTTGTTTTAGAAGGGAATATGTTACTTTTACGTTCTGATATTTTGACGGTGATTCACTGTCCCACAATGCCACTCACAAATCACTAACCACTGACAAATCACATGCACGTGGATTTCAAGTACCTGATTTCACCTGTCGTCAAGGTGTCATAGGTCATGGACATTCACCTTGATCTACTAACACCTGGTTATGCTCAGTTTCACAATAGTCTGTTTTGTTCCTATTTTTACACACTTTTACGTGTAAAAAGACATAAAAACCTTTGATACGCTGTATTTGTGCCAAGGCCCAATTAGTACTAATTGAGTTGTTTGAAAATTTATATATTTTGTATATTAACTGCATTTATTTAAAATCTGAGATCGAAAAAACATGGTTTTTTTCATTTCCGTGAGTACTTTAGGATCTCTTTTTAATCTTCGTAGAAAGGGCACGCTCGAAATCTGCTAAAATGAATTCAACTTAGCCATTATTTAACATAGCATCCCAACAGTGCAGAATACACCCATACATTAAATGGATATTAAGTTTCACAAGCATCATTTTCTGCATGAACCCAGGAATAAAGGATGTTCCGTTCCAGTCTGGCCCATTTTGAGAAAAATACATGTAGTATGAATAAGATCTAATTCTTTGTAACGTATTGTCCATTCAACATAGTGGAGGGGGATTATCAACGACACGTTGTGATAATAATCCTCTCACAATTAGTGTTATTGTGAGATTAACACTGTCCGAGGAGCTTGAATCTAGATGTATGGGGATCCCAGGAGAACTCGTCAAACAACGGTGTTAATCTGGCCACCTCGGGAGCACATGCTCACAGTCTAATGAGCGACACCATCCTAACTCCGGGCTTCGAGGGTCGGAGAATGTTGGGGTTGGAGGATGGGGAGAATTGGGGTGCGCTGGTTGGGGGAGGGGGAGAATTGGGGTGCGCTGGTTGGAGGAGGGGGAGAATTGGGGTGCGCTGGTTGGAGGAGGGGGAGAATTGGGGTGCGCTGGTTGGAGGAGGGGGAGAATTGGGGTGCGCTGGTTGGGGGAGGGGGAGAATTGGGGTGCGCTGGTTGGAGGAGGGGGAGAATTGGGGTGCGCTGGTTGGGGGAGGGGGAGAATTGGGGTGCGCTGGTTGGAGGAGGGGGAGAATTGGGGTGCGCTGGTTGGGGGAGGGGGAGAATTGGGGTGCGCTGGTTGGAGGAGGGGGAGAATTGGGGTGCGCTGGTTGGAGGAGGGGGAGAATTGGGGTGCGCTGGTTGGAGGAGGGGGAGAATTGGGGTGCGCTGGTTGGGGGAGGGGGAGAATTGGGGTGCGCTGGTTGGAGGATGGGGAGAATTGGGGTGCGCTGGTTGGAGGAGGTGGGGCGGGGAGTTGGGATCAGGGTAGAGAATGTTGGATAGTTGGCAGGAAGTTTTATGGCGGGATGGGGTATGGGGATTGGTTGATTGGCAGGATAAAGTGTGATGGCGGGGTGGGGAGTGCGGATTGGTTGCTTGACAGGATTAAGTGTGATGGCGGGGTGGGGTGTGCGGATTGGTTGATTGGCAGGATAAAGTGTGATGGCGGGGTGGGGAGTGCGGATTGGTTGCTTGACAGGATTAAGTGTGATGGCGGGGTGGGGTGTGCGGATTGGTTGCTTGACAGGATTAAGTGGGATGGCGGGGAGTGCGGATTGGTTGCTTGACAGGATAAAGTGTGATGGCGGGATGGGGGGTGCGGATTGGTTGCTTGACAGGATAAAGTGTGATGGCGGGATGGGGTTTGCGGATTGGTTGGTTGGCAGGATAAAGTGTGATGGCGCGATGGGGTGTGCGGATTGGTTGCTTGACAGGATAAAGTGTGATGGCGGGATGGGGAGTGCGAATTGGTTGATTGACAGGATAAAGTGTGATGGCGGGTCGGGGTGTGCGGCTTGGTTGGTTGGCAGAATAAAGTGTGATGGCGGGATGGGGAGTGCGAATTGGTTGATTGACGGGATAAAGTGTGATGGCGGGATGGGGTGTGCGGATTGGTTGTTTGGCAGGATAAAGTGTGATGGCGGGTGGGGAGTGCGAATTGGTTGATTGACAGGATAAAGTGTGATGGCGGGATGGGGAGTGCGAATTAGTTGATTGACAGGATAAAGTGTGATGGCGGGTCGGGGTGTGCGGCTTGGTTGGTTGGCAGAATAAAGTGTGATGGCGGGATGGGGAGTGCGAATTGGTTGATTGGCAGGATAAAGTGTGATGGCGGGGAGTGCGAATTGGTTGATTGACAGGATAAAGTGTGATGGTAGGATGGGTTGTGCTGATTGGTTGGTTGACAGGATAAAGTGTGATGGCGGAGTGATGTGTGCGGATTGTTTGGTTGACAGGATAAAGTGTGATGGCGGGATGGGGAGTGCGAATTGGTTGATTGGCAGGATAAAGTGTGATGGCGGGATGGGGAGTGCGGATTGGTTGATTGGCAGGATAAAGTGTGATGGCGGGATGGGGTGTGCGGATTGGTTGTTTGGCAGGATAAAGTGTGATGGCGGGATGGGGTGTGCGGATTGGTTGATTGGCAGGATAAAGTGTGATGGCGGGATGGGGTGTGCGGATGGGTTGTTTGGCAGGATAAAGTGTGATGGCGGGATGGGGTGTGCGGATTGGTTGTTTGGCAGGATAAAGTGTGATGGCGGGATGGGGTGTGCGGATTGGTTGTTTGGCAGGATAAAGTGTGATGGCGGGATGGGGTGTGCGGATTGGTTGATTGGCAGGATAAAGTGTGATGGCGGGATGGGGAGTGCGAATTGGTTGATTGACAGGATAAAGTGTGATGGCGGGATGGGGTGTGCGGATTGGTTGTTTGGCAGGATAAAGTGTGATGGCGGGTGGGGAGTGCGAATTGGTTGATTGACAGGATAAAGTGTGATGGCGGGATGGGGAGTGCGAATTAGTTGATTGACAGGATAAAGTGTGATGGCGGGTCGGGGTGTGCGGCTTGGTTGGTTGGCAGAATAAAGTGTGATGGCGGGATGGGGAGTGCGAATTGGTTGATTGGCAGGATAAAGTGTGATGGCGGGGAGTGCGAATTGGTTGATTGACAGGATAAAGTGTGATGGTAGGATGGGTTGTGCTGATTGGTTGGTTGACAGGATAAAGTGTGATGGCGGAGTGATGTGTGCGGATTGTTTGGTTGACAGGATAAAGTGTGATGGCGGGATGGGGAGTGCGAATTGGTTGATTGGCAGGATAAAGTGTGATGGCGGGATGGGGAGTGCGGATTGGTTGTTTGGCAGGATAAAGTGTGATGGCGGGATGGGGTGTGCGGATTGGTTGTTTGGCAGGATAAAGTGTGATGGCGGGATGGGGTGTGCGGATTGGTTGATTGGCAGGATAAAGTGTGATGGCGGGATGGGGTGTGCGGATTGGTTGTTTGGCAGGATAAAGTGTGATGGCGGGATGGGGTGTGCGGATTGGTTGTTTGGCAGGATAAAGTGTGATGGCGGGATGGGGTGTGCGGATTGGTTGTTTGGCAGGATAAAGTGTGATGGCGGGATGGGGTGTGCGGATTGGTTGATTGGCAGGATAAAGTGTGATGGCGGGATGGGGTGTGCGGATTGGTTGTTTGGCAGGATAAAGTGTGATGGCGGGATGGGGTGTGCGGATTGGTTGATTGGCAGGATAAAGTGTGATGGCGGGATGGGGTGTGCGGATTGGTTGATTGGCAGGATAAAGTGTGATGGCGGGATGGGGTGTGCGGATTGGTTGATTGGCAGGATAAAGTGTGATGGACGGGTGTGCGAATTGGATGGTTGGCAGGATAGAGTGTGATGGCGGGGTTGGGTGTGTGGATTGATTAAGAGGATAAAATCAGAGGAATAGGAGAGGGTAGAGGTTGAACTGGACGACGGAGAAGAGCCAGGTACGCGTGCTGTATGATGTCGGGTGGGGTGTGGGGATCGGAGTGTCTTGTCTTGGAGGAAAGGTAAGATGGTCGTGTGGGAACTCGATGTTTGGTGATGGGTGAGGCATTCTCCTGGTCGATGAGATGTAGCGTGACGTCAGTGTTGAAAGGCAACTGTAATGTGGTGAGAGGATGCTGATGAGTTGGTTGACGGGGCAAGGTCGGATCTGTTGAATGTTGGCGAGTTGGCAAACAGGGTAAAGTGTGGTAGCAGGATAGAGTTTCGAACAATAAAAAACAGTTCAGCACCAGTGTATTCCCAGTCTTTTTTGTAACTAGTTATTATTACTGTTAAATCATCTGTAGAACCGTATATGGAAGCCAATATTCTGCACCTGACCTAGCCATTCATAATAGGCCCATATTTCTTGGATTCAACAACATGTAACTATGTAGTGGACACATACGGGAACTCCACATAACAAAACAAGATCCACGGAGTTTTATTTCCAGAAGATTCTCGACAACAACATTCAGCTGTGTTCCAGCGATATCACAGCAGTATGTAAATAATCTGGACCAGACAGACCAGCAACCGAATCACCGAACCTGACCACCCGATCCATTTAGTTTACCTTCGAGACAAGTAAAGGATGGTGGACCTGTCCAGTCTAATACCAATCCACAACGTTGGACTTCGACAGTCCGTACAAATGTGTATCACGCCTTGTTTTTTAGTCAAACACGATACTTTTCAAGAAACTGCCATTAGAAGTCGCACACATATTGAGCAATTTATCTTGTGCCTTCTGGCATTTACATTTTTAATGCTTCATTAAAGTCAGTGGTTTCATGTACGAGAGTTCAAACTGTACCGATAGTAGGGTTTAGTTCGTGTCCGGGGCATTAACTGGAAACCCGTCGTTTGCACGCACATCAAATAAGGAATGTAATATTGCCTTTTGGCATTTAGGGCTTTTTCACTAGTGCCATTTTCAACGGTTTTATGGAGACCAGATCAAATGATAATAGGATAGGTTTTGTCTTAAAGGGAAAGGAAATACATCTAGCACGTTGTACAATGCTATTTTTATTGATATGTATGATATGATAACTTTTTCAAGAAATAAGAAAACATAACTCATATCTCGGTCCACATATATGAGTCACGAAGATATTGAAAGGAACATGGAGGCTCTCTTGGTTTGAGTTGTGTCCTTCAGCTGCAATGGTCCGCTATTCAAGGGTTCTAATCTCAATTTCTTCCCTTCTATGATCTTTGGTTTGTCAGCACCGTACACGTGTTCATGGGTTTTACAAACGTGGAAGGGGGTACGTGTGGCCCAGTCGTCTAAGGCGCCGAAAGCCGTTGCGTCCATTTGGCGCGCCAGAAACCTGTGACCGGGGAAGCCCAGTTCGCCCCGATTATGTTTCTAGGTTTGTCAGCATCATACTCGTGCTCTTGGGTTTCAGCAAAGTGGTAAACGCCTGAGACATGCATGATGTATTTAGTACAGAACATCAGAGAACAAAATCACCCATGCAATATGTTTAGCGAAGTGAGAGCAGTGAAAATGGTGTATTTAGTACAGAACATCCTAGAACAAAATCACCCATGCAATATGTTTAGCGAAGTGAGAGCAGTGAAAATGATGTATTTAGTACAGAACATCAGAGAACAAAATCACCCATGCAATATGTTTAGCAAAATAAGAGCAGTGAAAATGATGTATTTAGTACAGAACATCATAGAACAAAATCACCCATGCAATATGTTTAGCGAAGTGAGAGCAGTGAAAATGGTGTATTTAGTACAGAACATCCTAGAACAAAATCACCCATGCAATATGTTTAGCGAAGTGAGAGCAGTGAAAATGATGTATTTAGTACAGAACATCATAGAACAAAATCACCCATGCAATATGTTTAGCGAAGTGAGAGCAGTGAAAATGATGTATTTAGTACAGAACATCCTAGAACAAAATCACCCATGCAATATGTTTAGCGAAGTGAGAACAGTGAAAATGTTGTATTTAGTACAGAACATCAGAGAACAAAATCACCCATGCAATATGTTTAGCAAAATAAGAGCAGTGAAAATGATGTATTTAGTACAGAACATCATAGAACAAAATCACCAATGCAATATGTTTAGCGAAGTGAGAGCAGTGAAAATGGTGTATTTAGTACAGAACATCAGAGAACAAAATCACCCATGCAATATGTTTAGCGAAGTGAGAGCAGTGAAAATGATGTATTTAGTACAGAACATCATAGAACAAAATCACCCATGCAATATGTTTAGCGAAGTGAGAGCAGTAAAAATGTTGTATTTAGTACAGAACATCAGAGAACAAAATCACCCATGCAATATGTTTAGCGAAGTGAAAGTAGTGAAAATGGTGTATTTAGTACAGAACATCCTAGAACAAAATCACCCATGCAATATGTTTAGCGAAGTGAGAGCAGTGAAAATGTTGTATTTAGTACAGAACATCAGAGAACAAAATCACCGATGCAATATGTTTAGCGAAGTAAGAGCAGTGAAAATGATGTACTTAGTACAGAACATTATAGAACAAAATCCCTCATGCAATATGTTTAGCGAAGTGAGAGCAGTGAAAATGTTGTATTTAGTACAGAACATCAGAGAACAAAATCACCCATGCAATATGTTTAGCGAAGTAAGAGCAGTGAAAATGATGTACTTAGTACAGAACATTATAGAACAAAATCCCTCAAGCAATATGTTTAGCGATGTAAAATTGGTTTCCACAGGAAATATCCTTGGGTGACATAGACAGAATATAACCCGCATTCTCGTTAGATGCCAAAGAAAGATAACGAGTTTCGTAAAAAAAGGTGTATCTAACGATAATTAGTGCTGTATTCTGTATATCTCACCCAAGGATATTTTATATATTACTCACTTTATTAATGTAAATAAATAACTCTC